AAAAAAGAGGGGCGGCAGCCCTGGCCGGGCCCGAGCGCGCGGCGCGGCGGGGAGGGGATACCGGGGCGGACCCGGAGGACATGGAGGGCGAGGGGGGCCCGGGCCGGGCCGGGGCCGTGCGGGAGCTCTGCCGCTCCTTCGGCCACTACAACCGGCACCTGGCGCGGCTGCAGCACAACCTGCGCGAGACCAGGCGGTTCTTCCGCGACGTGCAGCTCTCCCAGGGACGCCCCTTCGCCCCGGAGGCCGCCGGCGACGCTCCCCGAGCAGGGGACGGGGATGAGGGGCCCGGGGACGACCCCGCGCCCGGCGGTGAGAGGGGACGGGATGGGGATCAGGGTGGGCAAGGGGGGCGGTTCTGAGGGTGAGCGGAGGGTTCCTGGGGCGAGGGGGTGTGCGAGGGTTGGGGGGCAGGTGAAAGGCGGTGGAGAGTGAAGGGCTCCCTTTATGGGGCTGCGGGGTCTCTGATGGGGTGTAGGTGGGCTTGGGGCTGCGGGAGGGTTGGTGGGATGTAGGGAGCAGGGGTGGGGGGTGGTTTCGGTGGGTTTTAGGAAAAAGTTCTTCCCCCAGAGGGTGGTTGAGCACTGAACAGGCTCCCCAGGGCAGTGGGCACAGCCCCAAGGCTGCCAGAGCTCCAGGAGGGTTTGGACAACGCTCTGATGGACAGGGTGGGCTTGTTGGGGTGTCCGTGCAGGGCCAGGAGTGTGAAATTGATGATCCCCGTGGGTCCCTTCCAGCTTAGGGTATTCCCTTCTTCCCTCTCCCGGTTTTTCGGCTCCCCCTTGCCGGGGTGTCAGGACGAGGGGATGGGTGGGATGAGGGGTCGCTGTTCCCCGGGGGGTGTGTTTGCCCCCGGGGGTCCCGTGGGAACAGCGGGGCTCTTCAGCAGCTCCCCGGGCATTTTGTGCTGCTGTTGACAAACAGAGCTGCGGGTGGGAGCTCTCCTGCCACGTGCGGAGCTCCGTCTCTCCATAAGACTGTCTTGTGAGAGGGGACTTTGGCGTGACGTGAAACCTCTTATAAAGATCTTCTTCATTCATTTCCAAACGGCTTCATGAGTCATCTCTGTTGGCCACTTGTCCAGGAGACTTGTCCCTGCTCGTCTCACCCTCGCGGTTGTGGTTTGAAAATGGAAGTGTTGGGATCTCCTGTCTGTGTATTAAAAAACAAACAAGCAAACGAACAACAACCCTAGGTTGGGTCTGGCTGGTTGGGAGTTCACTTTCCCCATCTGGGGGGCATCACTAATTCAGTATTCCTGACGTAGGTACAGAGGTTGTGGTGGGAGTTGAGGGGAGTGTGGGAACAGGGAGAGGATGAGGAGCAAGACTCGGTAAATTAATGGACACAACTGCAAAATAACTGTGAATTAATGATTATTAATTTTTTTTAAGCTCTGGGAAGTCACAAGCCTTTGCCCAAAACCCAGAGCTTTGGAATTGCTTATTAACTTTGTGCCTGAATAACCCCAGGGGGTTGTTGGAGAATCTTTATTATATTAATAATAATAATAATTATATTTATAAAAACAAGAGCTCCTTGTTTCTGTACAGTTTTAATTGTGTTTTACATTCCTGATGTTCTCTGAATTGTAGTGGCTGGTAATGAAGGTTTTTTTTCCCCTCTGTAACATGGGGAGTTTTTTAAGTGTCAGAGGGTTTAAAGAGCACAGTTCTCACTGAATTCAGAACCACTTTTTGCCCTTCAGGTGGTACCAAAGCGAGAGGAATTCTGACCAAATTGTTCTGCAGACTTTTTGTGAAACACGGGAGAACTGGGGAGTGGAGTGGACAGGACACACTGCCCAGGGCTGAAGTGGAAAATAAACTGTGAAAGTAAATGCAGATGTCTTGGAAACAAAACAAAGCGAAGGGTTTGCTTTTGAGGCACCTGAAAAACCCGTGGAACAGCCTGGAAAGGGAAGTGCCCTCTGGATCAAGAGCCAAAGCCCAGCCTGGGTTACTCTGCCCACAGCCAGGGCTGAGTATCTGCTCAGGAGTGGCCCCTGGGGTGAGCTGGGTCAGCCTGGGCTGGCACTTTGGGGAGAAATCAATTCTTTTCCATCCCACTCAGGAAGGAGACAGCCAAATCCATCAGCAAATGACTGGCACTGACCAAAGCGTGGGGGCAGCAGCGGGGCTCCCTCCTCACGGTGGGAGAAGGGAACTCCACCAAGGGAAGGAATAATTCGCCCCCCAGCTACTGGTTATGAGGGGAAGGCAAGTCTGGTTTGCTCTGTCTGCCTTTCTGAAGGAGCCAACAAAATCCTGTCTGTTCTCTGGGGCTGCCTTGCCGGGAATTGGCGTCTTAAGAGTGGTTTGTTCGAGTGCTGGGACGATCCCTGCAGCTTCAGGTCTGGCAGCTTTTGGCTCTTGGTGCTTTTAAATGGTGTGTTTTCTGCAAAAGCAAACCCCGAGTTGGGGACTTGGCAGCAGGTTTTCCTAAAATACGTGAAAATACTAAGAAAAAACTCCCTCAGCCCTGCTTTCTGCTGATTGGGGTTGTTTTCTTTATTCTGTGCTTGCAATGATTGGGAGATCACCGGGGAATCAGGGAATCCCAAAATGGTTTGAGTTGGGATGTCATGGGGACACCTTCCACTAGCCCAGGTTGCTCCAAGCCCTGTCCAACCTGGCCTTGGGCACCTCAGTTGATGGAACTGTGCTAATCATGAGTCTTGTGGTGGCCAAAACCTCCTGCAGGTCAGGACCAGCAGCACAGAAATGGAAGGATTTCTCTGAAAACCCTCAGTGTTTTGCAGTGAGAGGGTCTGGCCATATTTAGTTTCTCCTCATGCAGCGTTGAAGATGGAACAGAAACACAAGTGATGCTGGCAGAGGATCCCTGGAGAAGGGATGAGTCAATGCTTTGGGGCTTCTATGGATTCCATAAATCCAACCTCAGCCTCTCCTGCCAAGTGTTTGGCTGAGGTTTGAGCTGAGCCTTGGTGAGAGACGTCCTTGTTCTTGGACAGGCCTCCTTTCATCCCACGGGATCCACGTGCTCCAGGACTCCCCCGAGCCCTGGAAGTGTTTTGAAGTGTTCATCACATGTCTGCCAGTGATTACACTTTATGGATCCAGGATGCAGCACCAGCTCCAGCCCTTGGCAAGAGTCCTGTCACGAACAGGAGCTGCTCAGGGGTATCCCTGCAGGTTCTGGACCTCCTTTGTGCTGGGAAACAACACCCAGTGATGGACAAACACACGGTTAAAGCCTCTGCCAGGGCCTGGATGGTGCTGATAAAGCAGCCTGGGCTAGTGGAAGGTGTCCCTGCCTGTGGCAGGCAGGGGGTGGAATGTCATCTTTAGGGTCCCTTGCCCCCCAAACCAGTCTGTGATTCCATTTATATATCCACGTGTGCCTCAATAATTTCAGTGAAGCTGCTGCGTTTCAATCATTTTCCATCAGTCAGTACCCACAAAGCCTGCCTGGAGTGGGGAGGGGGAGCTCTGCCTCCTCTCTGCTCTTCAAAAACCTCTGCAGCCCTTCCTGAATTGCTTTTTTTTTTTTTTTCATGCCTGGTAGCTGAAGGGCGAGAGTCTGGATTGCAGCAGAAGGCTCAATAAATGTTACCAGATCAAAGAAATTCTTTATCTTGTAGATGAAGGCTGAAATGTGCTACTTGTGGGTTTTTGCAGATCCTTATCTTTGTGTGAGCTCCTGGCCAGCTCTGGCCCTTTGGTCACTTGATGTGGCTGCTCTGCCAGGCTGTGGATCTTGAAAGGCTTGTTTAAGGAACAGTTAGAAGAGCCAGTCCCACTTCAAGGAGTGATTTCTCTTTTAGGCTTTCCCAAACTCGACTTCTGGGGGTCAGCAATCAGGGTTTTGTGGGGGGCAGAGGTGCAGGAGAGGGGTTTGCTGAGCCACCTTAGTGTTGGGGTGGGAAAACTCCTCCAACAGTCTGTTTTCAGATGGAAGACTTGAAGGAAAAGTAGATTTTAGGCAAGATGTTGAAGAAGCCTTAAACTGGTCTAAGACACAAAGAACTAGACGTGGTGCTGCTCCCAACTGGGCTTTAATTAAACCAGAGGAGTGGAGTGGTGTCAGTAAGGACCAGAATGTGTTGTGTGCTCTCTTTAATTTGGTTTGTAGTGTCGAGGAGTATCGTGGTACATGGGAATATCTTGTTTTCTTGGGGCTTGGAGATGCTGAAACAATTTTGGCTGCCAGAACATGACTCATTAGAGGAATTTTAATAGCCCTGGTGAAACAGGACCTTCCCTGTCAAACCCCAGTTGCTGTGTTGGAGGGAATTCTCTCTCTAAACTTGCCAGTTTGCCCCCCTGTCAGGGCGGTCGTGGTGGTGGTTTGAAATTGGTGTCAGGTTTAAAACCTGGCGGGTTTTGGGGGCTGGTGCCTCCATTTGCCATTTCATTCTTGGTGCCCCCAGGTCTGGACCACGACCCAGCCCTGGCTGTGCTGCAGCACCAGCTGTTCTGTGTTCCTGAAGTGCAGCACACGAGGGATGGGTTTGTGTGTCCACGTTTTTTTGCTCTGCCAGAGTGATTCCATTGCATTGGGGGACACAAAGCTGCTCGAGGCTGAGTGTGGGCAAAGCTCTGTTTGGATGTTGTGAGAGAACAGAGAAGCTGAACCCAGTCCTGAGCCTGAGTTACTGCAGGGAGTTGTTCCATCCCTCTGAGCTTGGAATTCTTAGCCCGTGATGCTGCAGCCGGGGTTTCAGCTGGCAGATGAGTAAGGAGGGTGATTACAGGGAGTCCTGCTCTGGAGAAGATACAGATGTTGAGTAATTTCCTTTTGCAGCTTAAGTGCTGCTCTTAAAACGCCAATCTGTCCAACTGTGCCTGTTTGGTTCAGCTGGGCAGGTTGGGAAAGGTGTTTGCTGGCGGTGCCTCCAGGGGGTGAAGCTGTTGCTGTGTTTTGGGCTGCTCCAGAACCTTCTGGCTCTTCTTCCCTCCCCAGCTGCTGGAAGTGGGGCACTTCCTGGAGGTGCTGTGGCTGTTGGTTGTAGGGAACTGCTGGCAGAGGCTGTTCCTTCTCCTGCTGTGCCTCAGCAACCTCGGTCCTGTCTGCCTGATGTACGGAGGCAATTTTGCAGGAATGCCTTTCCCTGAGGCCAAAACAGAGGGTTTGCTGCTTTAATGTCGATATTCCTAGATTTTGGTCAGCAGGCTTGTGCAGTGGCGCTCCTGGGATTTGGTAGATGTGAAGTATCTGATGTTTTGAAGTGTGGGTGGAACTGTCACTGATTCAGAGCTGACTGAATTTATTTCTGATATGGGACAGGAATGTTCTGTACAGCCGAGCCGTAAAAACTTGGGAAGAGTTGGCCTTAGTGACCCACTGGGCCTCCTGGAGCTCCTGATCCAGGGCAACCACTGTTCCAGCCCCAGGCAGGATTAAACCTTTGCTTGTTTTGACCTTGACAGCTGTTTTATCTTGACTTTTTGGGCCTTCCGTGAGTCCCCCTCTAACCTGCTGAAGAGCTCAGTGTGGACTCTTTCCAGTGGAATAACATCATGGAATACCCTCAGTTGGAAGGGACCCACAGGGCTAATCCAGGTCCCCAAAATCCCACGTGCTGGGGGGGGAGAAGAACAGGGACAGAGCACTCAGGTGGCTTTGTGGGAACGAACCTGCTGGTGGTGCAGCAGGAATGCTGAGTCACTGACACAGACCCTGGTGCTCTGTGGGTTTCTGGATGGGCTGTGGGGCAGCTTTGGCCTTCAGGGGGCTCCGAGAGGTGGGGCTTGTCCCTCCAACCCCTCCTAACTGAGCCTGTCCCCGCTTCCAGGGCAGAACTTCATCTCCTTCCCCCGGCACGAGGAGGAGCATCTGCAGCGCTCCGTGAGCTGGCACCCCTGCCTGCTGATCCTGGGCCAGAACTGCAGTGCCAAGTGCCAGCTGCTCAACATCCTGCTGGGGGAGAAGCTGCTCCCCACCACCAAGATCAGCAACGAGGAGAGCTGCAAGAGGCGGCGCGTCCGCTTCACGCACGGCAGCCAGACCCGCGTGAGCCTGGCCCTGCCCCAGCAGTACGAGCTGGTGCACGTGCTGGCAGCTCACAGGGGCCACTGGGACACCATCCCCGAGGAGGACCTGGAGATCCAGGGGGACCCCGAGGACCCTGCCCACCGCATCGCCGAGCTGGAGGTCACGCTGCCCTACTCGCTGCTCAAGGTAGGCGGGGGGTGCTGTCCCTGCCCGGGGGGAGATCTACCACTGCAGTCCCTGATGGAGCAAATGGGGCCACCTCTCAGTCAGAGAGGTCCTGCTAATTGGAGAGAAGCTGGAGGCTGGTGTTGGGGTTGTAACTGGACGTCGCTGTCTGTGCTGATGGGCCTTTGTTTTGGTGTTGAGTCACAGAATCCATTAGGTTGGAAAAGATCTGAGATCGGGTCCAGCCTTTGGCATTGTTGTTCCTCTCTCGTGTTTCCATCCATCTCAGGAGCCAAGCTTAGAACTCCAAGTGTCTCCTGAAATTTGCCTCAATCCCAAAGTCCTTCAGAGTTGGCTCTACTGTCTCGTGACAGCCAGCAGCTCTCATACAAGGATATGGACCCCAGCTCTGTCCTGAAGAGCTTATTGTCAGCAAAAAACTCCTTAATTCCACCCTTTGGGAGAGGAGAGGCTTTTTTGCATCTCTGTGCTGTCCCTGGAAGCTGCAGGTGTTGAGAGCAAGAAGGTGCCCTAAAGAGCTGCTGGTGCTGCAGAGGCAATGCCTGTTCTGGGTCTTCTGCCTCCAAACTCCTGCCTTGCTGGGCATAGAAGGCTCTGGAGCTGTCCCTGTCTGTGCCTTGCTTAGGTTGTTCCCTGGGCCAGCCCTGCAGCCCTCCCTCAGCTTCTCCTGGGAGCCACAAAGATCCCTCTGTCTGCCTTCGGGGATATTTAGGACATTGAGATGAAAACAGCTACTCAGATTAAATTGAAAAGGGTTGGTGGAATAAAAAAAGCTCTTCCAGTAGAAGGAGAAGGGAGGGTGAATCAGCCTCAGATGGATTCAAAGGATTCCTGATGTGCATTGAAGGGCCTGAAGGACAAACAGACTTTTTTTTTATAAAGGCTGATAGGAGATCCTGATTAATTGTCCAGGTGATGGGGCTGGGGGACAGCTCCCTGGTAAATTCCTGGTAAATCCCAGAGTTTGGCCTCCTACTGAGACCTGTTTTATGCCCCTTTTCCAACTAATGAGAGTTCTCCAGCCCTGCTCAGTGTAGGCCAGGCAGTGAAGTTTGAGTAAATACCTGCCTGTCATGGACAGGGCTTCTGTAACCAGTGGAATTTCCATCCACAGCCACAATGGAGGAGGTTTCTGGACACTGTCCAAAAAATCTCATGTCTGCAGAACAGCTCTGAAGGAACTTCTGCTTCTTCTTTTCTCGTGGAACAAAACTCTGACTCTAATTACAGTTACATCCAGGATGTTAACAGGATATCCAGCACTGATCTTAAGGGTTTAGGTTTGCCCAAAGAACTTGGAGGAGCTCAGCACATTTTTGGACAGAGGGAGAGGGAAATCAGTCTGAATTTTACCCCATTTCTTCCCTGAAGTCCCCATATTTTCATCTGGGTTTTTTTTTTTTGTATTTCATAACCTCCCCTTTTAGATATTTAAAACCACTTTGTTGTTATTTGAACATTCAACACTATTCCAGTAAAGAGAGACTGAATTATTTGTAAGTTAACAATATCCAAATAAACCAAACTCCTTTTTTTATTTGGAAGTAAATAAAAAAAAAAGTGTAGAATATTCCTGGTTTTAATATCAAACTGCCACTGGAGCACCCTGAGGGATTTTTCTGCAGCCTGATAGCCAGGATGGCACCATCCTTGATTTTCTGTGTCTTAATCCAAACCTGCCTCACAGGAGAAGTGGGGGGAGGAAGGAGCCCAAACTTTCATTTACATGGAATGGCTGCTGTGAGAACCTTGTGCTACTGGGTAGGTGAACTTGGTTATTTTTAAACATCAAATATCAGGGCTTGGGAAAAAAAAAAACCCAACCCTTTGGCAAAGCTGCTCTATTCCTTGGGGATCTCTGTGCACAGGAATTCATGTGGGTCATGGGGAGTAATCCATTTAGCCAGACAGATTATTAGATTTACAGTGGGAGCAAACAGTTGGCTCTTTCCCTAAATCTTTATCAGTTGTGCCCAGGGAGCTGAAATGGGCTCCTCTCGAGGGGTGGTTTTGCTCTGGATGGGCTTTAGAAGTTCCTTTTTTTTTTCCCTGCTGTTCTCCTGTTTTGTGGGACTTGGAATCTCGGGCTGTGAAGCTTTAAGGAAGGTTTGTAGGGACAGAAAAAGGTTCCTCTGCTGTGACAGAGCTGGGAAATGAATGGAGAAGGAGAGCTGGGTTGATTTGGGTTTATTGTGTTTCCTCAGGTGCTGCAGCAGTGATTCAGGGCACAGGAATCCTTGGCTCTTAAAAGTGGCAGAGGATGTGCTTAAGTACCTGCTGGGTGATAATTTATGGCCATCCTGCGTAAAACCTGGAGGAATGTGCTCTGATCTCCTGCCTGGGAGTGTTTTTAATCTCTACATCCAAACATATTTCAGTTTATAGGAAGATAGAGGAATATTTTTAAAGGAATGCATGCAGTTTTGTAGTGTTAGCACAAAAAAGCTTTGTGTTGGCTGAGGTTTTTTTTTTTTTGGCCCTTCCAGCAAAGGTAAAATTAAATTTTCTTCCCCCCAAAAATGAGGTTAAAGTCCAAGTTCTGTACAGGACAGCAGAGTGTGGTGTAGATCACTTCTCTTGCAGGGGATTCTCTCTGTTACTGGTGCCTCAGATCCCCATGGAAACAGAACAAACTGGCAAATTCTCAGAAAAATTGGGTGGGGGAAGTGTGTGTAAAACAACAACAACAACAAAAAAAGATTCTAAGTAGGATCTGAGGGTATAAATGTTCCTCAGATTAATAGGGAGGCATGAAATGAGCTCCCATGTGTAATAAATGCAGTGACTGTCAGACTTGAGTGAGTCACAGGCTGTTCTTGGAAGGCAAAGTATCAAATGGGCACAGAAAAAGACTGGCCTTCAGTCACAGTAGGAGTTTGGGTAAAAATGGGACTAAACTGGGTTGGTTTTCAGCCCCTCAGTTAACTGAGCAAACAGTGATTAAACTGCCCCGAGCCCGGGAAAAGTAGGACAAGGCCCTCTGGGGATGGAGCGAAGAAATGCTTTAAAGTGCTTTGGAAAGGAGGAGTTATCTGTTGGTTTAGTAGACTGGCACAGTTCAGTGGTCCCTGGGTGCATTCAGCAGAGGCTCCACTTGTTTTAGTGGAGGTCCAGGTCTGCTTGACCCTTGATTTTCATTTCTTTTCTCTGTGCTGGTGTCTGCAGCACCTCAGCACCCCATTTCAAGTGGCAGAGCTTTAACTCCCAATATTTGCCCTCCCGACCTTCAGGTGGCCGAGTGGGAAGCTCTGGTGTTTTATAAAGGGCCTTTTCAGTGCAGGAGAACAGGGCTGAGGTTCCTTGAGGGCAGTTTGCTGCTCCCAGCCGGGTGAGGAGTGTTGCTGAGCAGCCTGCCCAGCTGCAAAGCTGCGGGAATCCAGCGTGAGTCACAGGTATTCCCCACGTGAATCCTCCAGTGGGGCTGCGGGGATGGTGCTGAAACATCCCTAGGATGTTTTGGGGAGGGGAAACCAACCAAAACAAGGGGTGGGCAAGACATATTTTCTCTCTGGCCGAGGTGTTCTGTGGGAGCAGCAGGCCTGGTGGCTCGGGGTGGTGGGTGCTGTGTGTTGGTTTTCTCCCCGTCTCCTGGAGACAGCTCTGGCTTCCTCCTTTGTTTACAGTGGCTGCTGTGAGTCAGCTCCTGGGGGATGCTGCAGCCCTGCACATCCCCTTCTGCTCAGCTCCTCTGCCCCAGCCAGGTTTGGGGGCAGGAGTGGCTTCCTGAGAGCTCTTAAAGGGTGGTCAGGAGAAATGATTGAAGGATTGTTAATTATCACCCTCTGTTGTGAGCCAAGGATGGTACTTGAAATTGTCTCTTCAGTTCAGAGCCTTTCCTTCCTTATTTTAGTAGTGATGTATGGGATTCTAACACTGATCTTTGCACGTCCAAAGGGGACTCCCATCTTCCTTGGAAGGGAAGGAAGCAGATTGCAAGCTGGCCCTTTGCAGTAGGGTTGGTAAGAAATGCTGTCACAGCAGCAGAACTGTGCAGTAAGAAAACAACTAAAACAAAATCCATCTTTTAGCTTTGAGTTGGATTTAAAGAAAGCCATAACCAAGCCTGTCACAGCCATCTGTTCTCCTGGCTGGGAACTCAGGTTGTTGTGCTGCCTTTTTCTTGGCAGTAGTGGCTCGTGTAGTGCTTCCCACTCACGGGAATCTGGCAGCATGGATGTCTGGGAGACATCAGCAGGGGAGGCTGCTGCAAAATGGGGCAGGTACAAGCTGAAGAATTCCAGTTGTTCTGTGGTCCTGGGACGCTCGGTGGAAGTTTTATTCTCAGCCAGGCTAAAACTCAAAGGTCCAAAACAAGAGCTTTGGAGTCGGCAGGCCCTGAGCCCCATGTGGGGGCATCCCCGTGGGATCAGCCTCGCGGGTGATGCTGTGATTGAGACTCCAGGACTTCCCGGGGGGGTTTTGAGTGGTTCTGGTGTGGGTTGTGCCGCGCTGCCGCGTGCGAGGACCCGCTCAGACGCGTCGGTGTTTGCCCCCAGGAGGTGGACGTGGTGGTGGCGCCGTGCCGGGGGTTCCAGCCGGCGGAGGACACCCTGGGGGAGTTTGTGAACCAGGTGCTGCCCGTGGTGACCTTCGCCATCAGCGAGGCCCAGCTCTCCCCGTCGGACCAGGCCGAGCTGAGAACCATCAAGGAGAAGTTCTCGCTGCCCATCTTCTTCTTCCGCGTGCCCGAGGCCGGGGCCGAGCTGATCTCCCCCCGGAAAGCGGACGGCGAGAAATCCTCCCTGCACTGCCAGCTGCTGGACCTGCAGTACCTGAGCTCCAACCACTGCAGCTGCGGGGAGGCCCAGAGCATGCTGGTGGAGCAGCTGGAGAAGCTGAGGCTGCTGAGCACCTTCTCCAGGCAGGTGCTGCAGAAGCACCTGGTGGAGGCGGCCACGAGCCTGAACGAGCTGCACTGCCGCTGCCTCAACATCTTCATCAACCAGGCCTTCGACATGCAGAGGGACCTGCAGATCACCCCCAAGAGGCTGGAGTACACCCGCAGGAAGGAGAACGAGCTCTACGAGTCCCTCATGGGCATCGCCAACCGCAAGCAGGAGGAGATGAAGGACATGATCGTGGAGACGCTGGGCAACATGAAGGAGGAGCTGCTGGAGGACGCTGCCAGCATGGAGTTCAAAGGTGACTGCACCGCTGGGAATGGAGGGGTTGGGGGCTTGAAAGGAGAAGGGGAGAGTGGTATTTGCCTTCTGCAAGGGATGGGGGGATGGTGGTCTGGACAAGAGACTTGGAGACGTTCAGAACGTGCCAGACACACAAAGGTTCAGAATGTGCAAAATGCACAAAGGTTCACAATGTTCAGACATTCAGAATATACCAAAATGCCCAAAGATTTGATTTTTCAGTAGTATCTGTTGGGTAAAAAGCACCACCCTTAAATGAGAGGCCTGAGCAGGTTTCTTCTGAGTCAGACTTTTCCCCCCTAGACCTTCCTGCACTGTTCTGGGTTTAAGGTATTTAATTTCTTTTAATTCCCTGCTCCATGAAGAACTGAACAACTCTCTCCACGTTGCCTCAGTGGCTGTGTTGAGATTTGGGAATAAATCTGCCCTAAGGAAAAAAAAAAGCCATTTCAGTGTCAGCAGCGAAGGTTCATTTGGTGCTTTCTGCTCAGTCTCTTTGAGAGAGTTTTGCATAAGACACTTGGGTTTAGACCCTTCCAAAGCAAAATCCTTCTGGGTAGGGAAAGTCTTCTGAAAAAAAAGGAAAGAAAATCAACACAACACGTTGTGCTCCCAAGGCTTGGCATGGAGTGTGTTTTGGGGAAATGTGAGAGTTCTCACCACCTCTTCCAGTAGCAGAACTGCAGGAGCTCCGAGCTGGAAGCCCAGGGGATGGTGTGTAAGCTGTGAAGGGCGAGAGGCCCCCCAAATTCTGGCTGTGGGAGTGTGGTCTGGCAGTGGCAGCGCAGGGGAGGTTTGTGGGTTGGTGCTCCACAGCTCCTTTTCTCTGCTTGCCAGAGGTTTGCTGTAACAATCACTTCTGTTCCAAGGGAACGCGCTACACTGGGATGGGGGAGGGAGATTTGTCTGCTTGAAGTAAAATCAGAAACAACTCGGGGGCTTTTAGGTTAGAAATCAGCTTTGGAGAACTGAGGGCTTGCCTGAGGGTCGAGAGAGGCCCAAACTGCAGACATAATTCCTGTATTCCACGTGTCCCAGCCTTGGAGCCCTGCAGTGCCTGAGCTCAGGATTCTGCCCGTGCCAGGAGCGTGTTCAGGGGCAGCACGAGATAAACCACCTGCAGGAAATCCTTGGGCACGTTTATTTGCCCAACACACACGCCACTTGGAGCATCTTGTTGGCTCTCAGCACTTGGAGTGCTCCCCTGAAGGAAAGGGAGGTGTTATTTTGAGGAGCTGATGCCATCTGCCGATCCCCTGCCTTTGTTTTAAGTAGGCTGGGCTGGCGCTGGCCAAAATCCAGGGATGAGGTTTGCAGCTCCTGGGAGCAACAAGAGTATTTTGGAGTGGTTACAGGGCAGGGATTGTTTGGTGCTGGCTTGAAAATACCCAGCTGGTGATGGACCTTTCCAAGGCACCAGGAAAAAAATGCCATGTACCTGGTGTGGCTGTTCCATCCCTTCCCTCTGGCCATCCAGCAGTGCCTGGAAGGATTTCCTGGGCTGCACTGGACAGAAACACAGCTTTGTCTAAAGGAAGGAACCTCTGAAGGTGGAGGGAGGGGAAAAAAGAGGCTTTTGGAGCAGAAGCTTCTGCTCTGGGTGTTCAGAGCAGCTCTCAGGAGTCGTCGTTTCCACCCTGTGACCACCAAGGGTGTCTCTTGCCTTTCCTGTGTGCAGATATCATCATCCCTGAGAACGGGGAGCCCGTCAGCTCCAAGGACATCAAGTGCTGCATTAAGCAGATCCAGGAACTGATTATTTCCCGGTTAAACCAAGCAGTTGCCAACAAGTTGATCAGCTCAGTGGACTATCTGAGGGAGAGCTTTGTGGGGACTCTGGAGAGGTGCCTCAAGAGCCTGGAGGAGTCCTGGGAGGTGTCAGTGCATCCCGTGAGGAGCTTGGAGAAGCCCAAGGACGGCTCTGTGCACATCACAAGCAATTATCTCAAACAGGTACCCGTGGCTGGAGTGGCTCTTCGGAGAGAGAGTTCTTATCACTGGGTTTCTCCTGAGCCAGGGAGGGTGGTGGGAGATGGAGATACCCAGGGAAACACAGCTCTGGAATGGGTGGGGTTTGGGGTCATTAAGGGAGGTGCTAAAACTTAAGGGCCTAACACTTAATTTTCCTAAATCTGTATATAAAAACAGATTACAGCCTAGAAACACCTCTGAGCTCAATGCAGTAAGTGAATTAACCAAGTGATTCATGGGTTATACCACATTCTTTTTTCATTTTTAGAGGGTCTGTCAAAGTTTATGGCTTGCAAAGTTTCCCAGACTTACGTCTTTTCCTGCTTTCCAGATCCTAAATGCAGCTTATCATGTGGAAGTCACCTTCCACTCTGGCTCAACAGTGACCAGGATGCTGTGGGAACAGATCAAACAGGTATGGGCACCTCCAGCGGTTACTCCTGAGGATTTCCATCCCTGGAAGTGTCCAAGGCCAGGTTGGAGAGGGCTTGGAGCAGCCTGGGCTGGTGGAAGGTGTCCCTGGGGGTGGTACAAGATGGGCTTTAAGGTCCCTCCCAACCCAAACCAGTCTGAGATTCCATGATTCCAATACTTAATGTAAAGCAAAGACCTCCTGAGTGTTTTCCTGAGCCAAGGCCTGAAGGGCCTTTTGAAACTCGTGACTGTTTGGAGTAATGTTGTTTATTTGGGTTTGTGGGTTCCTTGTGGGTTTTTGTTTGCTTGTTTTGCAGTGTATCTTGATTTAGGTCAATTCACTCTTCTCCCCCCCAGAGCAGACCAGATTTGCTCTGGTTTTTATGTTAAATTTCTGTCTGTTAAGACACTGATGGTGGTGAAATCCCTGCTCTGAGCCGCTGCTGACCTTTACTGCCTTCTCCCTCCTGAGATTCCTTGGATGGGTGAGGGGAGCACCACTCTATCCCAGAGAGGTGCAGTGCAGACAAATCTTCAGCTGCTCCTCCAGCCTGGCAGAGGGACCCAGCCTGGCTGTGCAGCCCCTGGATTTCTGTGGCCTCCAATAGAGGGTGGGGCAGGGCAGCTGAATCACCCGGGAATTACAGGAAGTGGTGCATTCCAAACCCCGGGATTGCCCAGCAAAAAGAAGCTTCCCTGTCGATTTTACCACTTTGGGAGCCTCTCTCTCCCTGATTCCCTGGGCTCCTGCTTATGCTGCCACTTCCCTCAGCCCAGAAGCTGCACCACAGCCGTGTGGTTTTCCAGCTGGTGGCTGCTGGAGCCGTTCCTGGTCGGTTGGGAAGGGATGGTTGTGTTGTAGGAATGAACTGAGCAGCTGCTCAGACCAATCAGACCATCTTGTTGGGATGTACAGCAGTGTTGGGACCAGTGCCTCTGGGTTAGAACCATGGAATCCTGGTATGGGTTGGGTGGGAAAGGGACCGTAAAGCTCACCCAGTGCCACCCCCTGCCACGGGCAGGGACACCTTCCACTGGCCCAGGCTGCTCCAAGTTTATCCAACCTGGCCTTGGACACTTCCAGGGATCCAGGAGCAGCCACAGCTTCTCTGGGCAACCTGTGCCAGGGCCTCACCTCCCTCCGAGTCAATAATTAGCAATTACTCCAAGGTAATTATGTAGCCCAGATCTGTGTGCAGATGACCGTGTCATTACAAGGTGTCTGAGCAAATCCACTGTCCCTGGACTTTTTTTTTGGTGTCAATGCCTGAGCTTTGTGTCCCGTTTTCCCAGATAATCCAGCGGATCACGTGGGTCAGCCCCCCTGCTATCACCAGCGACTGGAAGAGGAAGGTGGCCCAGGATGCCATCGAGAGCCTCAGCGCTTCCAAGCTGGCCAAGAGCATCTGCAGCCAGTTCAGGACCAGGCTCAACAGCTCCCACGAGGCCTTTGCAGCTTCTCTGCGGCAGGTGAGTGCGGGCAGCTGCTCAGCAGGGTTTGTTTTGGGCTGTGCCATTTGGGGGAGAGGAATTTGAATTCCAGGAGTAGCTGAAAGAGCAGCTGGTGCAGTTAACGCAGCCGTTCTGTGGGGAGAGCTGAGGTGAGAGCTCTGACACCAGGTCTTATTTTTTAAACTGGACGTTCAGGGCCTGTCAACCTTGTTCCAGTGTGGCTCCAGAGCAGCAGCAGGGTGACAGTGTGTGTGTGTGTGTGTGTGTGGTGTCTCCTGCAGCTGGAGGATGGCCACTCTGGCAGGCTGGAGAGGACGGAGGACCTGTGGCTGAAGGTGCGGAAGGACCACGCTCCCCGGCTGGCCCGGCTGTCCCTGGAGAGCAGATCCCTGCAGGATGTGCTGCTGCACGGTGAGCAGCCTGTGTTACCCTCCCCCTCCTCCTGAGGCAGCCCCTGGGTGGGGAGGAGCAGGAGGGGTGTTTCATTCCCACTGGGAGGAGCAGGAGGGGTGTTTCGTTCCCGCTGGCACATCCCCAGTTCCCTGGATGCTGCTGTGGGCCCGTAGCAGGCTCTGGGCTGCCAGGCTGGGAATTTGCAGGAGAAATCCGTGTGTTTTAGTGCCTGGCTCCACGTGCTGTGGTGTCTGAGTGTGCCTGGCTGTTGTGCCTTGCAGGCAAACCCAAGCTGGGCCGGGAGCTGGGCCGAGGGCAGTACGGAGTGGTGTACCTGTGTGACAGCTGGGGGGGGCACTTCCCCTGCGCCCTCAAATCTGTTGTTCCCCCAGATGAGAAGCACTGGAACGACCTTGCACTTGAGTTTCACTATATGAGGTGTGTATCCCCAGGGCTTTTCCTCCTTCTCCTCAATGCCACGGTCATTTAGGCTGGAAAAGGCCTCCCAAGGTCAGAGTCCAGCCTGTGCCCAATCCCCACCTTGTCCCCCAGACCAGAGCCCTGAGTGCCACCTCCAGTTGTGCTGCAGACACTGGAATTGCACAGGCAGGGCCTGATTCCCTCTGGTTTTATTCTGGAGTCAGTGACTTGACCCCATGGAATGCCAAGCTGCCATTCCTGACCTTGCCAGGACACCTCTGCCAGGTGTAAGAGGCACAGAGGGGTGGGCAAACATCCTCCTCCCTGCCTCCAGCTGGTTCCCTGGGGTCTGTGCTCTTCAAATTCCTGCTGTTTTGCAGGAGTAAATTAGAATTAATAGACTATTACAACAAACAGTTCTTCTCCCCTGATTTTTGGTGTTGAATCATCCCTCCTTTCCCAACCTGTCTGAATCCACAGAGGAAAATGATGGCTCTGCAGTGCAGAAAGCAGCTTGTTTTCAGTAAACAGCTGCAGGCAGGTGCTTCAGCACAGACAGCTGAAATAGTACAGGGGTGTTTTTTTTGGAACTATAACCTTTAATAGGGCTTTTTTTGAGTTTAATTGGTTCAGACAGCTGGATATTCTTGTGGTGCTCTGAACTGTGAATTTTTCCTGCACAGGACCTTATTGCTGTGCTAAAGCTGCAGCTCCTGGGCACATTCTCTTTAGGAGGGGAGGCTTGGCCTGGGCTGAAAGGGATAAAAATGACCAGTTTTCTGTGCTGAACCTCCCCCAGGTCCCTGCAGACACATGAGAGGCTCGTGCACCTCCATGGATCCGTGATAGATTATGGCTATGGAGGAGGCTCCAGCATCGCTGTGCTGCTGATCATGGAGCGGCTGCACAGGGACCTCTACACGGGGCTAAAGGTACCAACAACCTGGGGCTGTGTGTGTTAAACAGATTTTATACATCCCTGCCCCATCCCTGGGAGTGCCCAAGGCCAGGTTGGACAGGGCTTGGAGCAGCCTGGGCTCGTGGAAGGCGTCCCTACCCATGGGGGGGTGGAAGTGGATGAGCTTTAAGTTCCCTTTCCACCCAATTGTCTAATTTAAAAAAAAAAACACATCTAAATCTATATATATTGGTCTGTAAGACAAAGCTGGAATTGCTTGGGTTTGGTAAATAAGAGTGAGGGAAGGTAAGTTGCACTTGCAGGAGTGAAATGTGTGTGTGTGTGTGTGTTTGTTCCTCAGGCCGGGCTGGAACTGGAGACACGGTTGCAGATTGCCTTGGATGTGGTGGAAGGGATCCGGTACCTGCACAGCCAGGGGCTGGTGCACAGGGACATCAAGCTGAAAAATGTCTTGGTAAGGAGCACTCTGGCATCACCTGGCTGATCCTGGAGGCTTGCAAGACCTCTTTAGTGGGAGGGAGAAGCTTTAAGTGAAGGAATAAGCTGGCCTGGCAGTGGAGGTTTCCCTCACTCCTCTTCTGGCACCAGGCCCGGGGCAAAGGGAGCAGTGCAGTGGCTCCTCTGCAGTGTAGGCAGCTTGAGCTCCAAGTGGGATTTCCAGTTCCTGCTTCTCTTAAATGCCAGCCACACCCTTGATGTAGAAGACAGGTGGAGGCATGTCCTGGCACTGAGCTCTGCGAGGTGAGTGTCCAAGAGCAGCCAGGCAATCCATCAGAGCAGCTCCTTAAGAACAAGTGCCCAAACCCTCCCCAGCGTAAACAGTTTTAGAACCCTGGTGTTGTTGAAAGGCAGCCCTGGGACTGAGCGGCGTGGTTGTCAGCTGCCTCTGTGTGGATTCTCCTGCAGCTGGACAAAAAGAATCGAGCCAAAATCACTGACCTGGGGTTCTGCAAACCAGAGGCCATGATGTCTGGCAGCATTGTGGGCACACCCATTCACATGGCTCCTGAGCTCTTCACAGGTATGTTCCCCCCACTGAACCCACTGCTGGCCTCCTGCTCTTGCCTGGGATTGTGAGGGCCACGATGAGGGGAAAGGGATGAGAGGACAAGCCCCAGATGACAATGCTTCCAGTGGATGCTGGGTGTGGTTTTGTGTCAGTCTTTTTGAAAGAGAACTGTGGGATTGATAAGCTTTGCTGGAGTGGTTAATGCTACTGCAGTTGGAAAGTTAAATTATTGGTTATTAGGAAGCTGGGAATAGTTGGCTTTCATAGGCAGATCCTTCAGGAAGGATCATCCTGCATTGGGCCTCTGGCCCAGGGGCTCTCTGAGGGTTTTCCTGAGCCTTCCAGTAGCACTTAGAGGTTCATACATCACTTACCAGAATCCCTGTGGTCTGTCAGAGCTGCCCCTGCTTGGGCAAGATTGAAATCAAATTGGGTCAACCCTGTTTGTGTTTAATTTAGAGTGTTATTTAATGTTATTGAGGTGGTTCTTAATAACAGTGAAATTCTCCTGGCCATGGGCTGGGCCTTGAGCTTAGACCTGAGCACTGACTCAGCCCTGGGGCACCTGGGGTGCTCAGTCTTGGCTGATTTAGTGGGTGAAGTTTAAGTGTAAAAAACCTGAGAACTGGAAAATCTTAACTTTTACCTTTGGCCGTGACTGCTGCTGTGTTCCTTCCCCCCCACTCTTGCCTTGTGGCAGTGAAGCTGTGGTTTAAACTTGAAGAAGCTGGACACTAAACGAGTCCTCAGCCTGCACTGGTGAGGGGGATGTTTGTCCTGCTGATCAGATGTGCTTTTGTTCCAGGGAAGTACGATAACTCAGTGGATGTTTACGCCTTTGGGATTCTCTTCTGGTACATCTGCTCGGGCCACGTGAAGTTACCAGAGGCTTTTGAGAGATGTGCAAGCAAAGATCACCTGTGGAACAACGTCAGGAGAGGTACAGAGGCTTGCTCTGGCTCGCCCCTCCTGTCAGGGAGTTGCAGAGCCAGAAGGTCCCCCCTGAGCCTCCTTTTCTCCAGGCTGAGCCCCCCCAGCTCCCTCAGCTCTCCTGGTGCTCCAGACCCTTCCCCAGCTCCCTTCCCTTCCCTGCACACGCTCCAGCCCCACAATGTCCCTCCTGGACTGAGTGACCAGAACTTGCATCCCTGCCCTTCTCCTGCTGGACACTTCCTGATCCAGGCCAGGATGTTTTTAGGACACTCTAAAGAGTAACATTCCCTAGTTTACCTTAGACAGATTCCACTGAAAGTTGACCTAAAATGAGCAGCATAAAAAAGGGGCTTTTGGTTGAGCAGCTCTTCTCCATCAGCACGGGAGCTGTGCCTGCACACCCTTAACCCATGGAGCAGCACAACCCTGGTGATGTAACCCCAGCCCCCAGAGCCAGCCAGGCCTGATCCCCTGAGGAATGTTTAATCCCTTGCAGCTCCTGGAGGTTTCTGTACATCCATCTGCTCCATGAGCAGCCTTGCTGAGGGAGCTGGGTGTGGAGAGAAGCACTGGGGCAGGTGTTCCCCAAAATACAAACTCACTCCTGTGCCTGGCTGGGAGGGGTTCAGTGAGTGCTGGGTTTTGTTGGCAGCTCAACCCCTCGTGCTGTGTCCTGGGATCATGATTGCTTTACCCTTCGTCCCTCAGTTCCTGTCCCTGCAAACTCTCCCCCTTCTCATGTGAAAAAGATTAACTCAGATGAGTGAGTCTCCCATTTGGCCAGGAGGCTGCACTTGCTGCTCATTCCCACGTTGAACTGGCTCCCAGAGGCACTGGAATGTGCAGGTGGATGGGTAGGGGGGGGGAACCTTTTTCCTTAGATCATTTTGCTCCCAAATAGTTGCAGAAAGGAGACTCCTGGTGAAATTTAAATGTGCTAGGAGAGCTGGAGGGGCGTCAGCCTGGAGAAGAGAAGGCTCCAGGGAGACCTTAAAGCCTAAAAGGCGCTTAAAAAAGGAGGGAGAGGGACTTTTTGTGTGGGCAGAGAGTGACAGGACAAGGGGTGATGGTTTTAAACTGCCAGAGGGCAGGGTTGGGTGGGATATTGGGGAGAAAATGTTCCCTGGGAGAGTGGGGAGGCCCTGGCACAGGTTGCCCAGAGAAGCTGTGGCTGCCCCTGGATCCCTGGAAGTGTCCAAGGCCAGGTTGGACGGGTCTTGGAGCAACCTGGGCTGGTGGAAGGTGTCCCTGCCCGTGGCAGGGGGTGGCACTGGGTGAGCTTTTAGGTCCCTTTCCCACCCAATCCGGGCTGTGATCCCATGGCTCCATGTGCTGCCCATCCTCTGGCAGTGCCCCCCACCTGAGGAGCCTCAGTGATGTCTCAGCGACCTTTTCCATTCTCCAGGAGTGCGGCCGGAGCGTCTCCCGGTGTTCGACGAGGAATGCTGGCAGCTGATGGAAGCCTGCTGGGATGGGGACTCCTCCCAGCGCCCTCTCCTGGGGATTGTCCAGCCGATGCTGCAGGGGATCATGGACAGGCTCTGCAAGTCCAGCTCCGAGCACCCAAATAAAGGCTTGGATGACTCGACTTGAGGAGGAGGCACGGAAAGATTTTGGAATTGGGGCCACCCAAACTCTGCAGGAGGCTTCTCCAGGCGGAGCTCTGTGCCCAGCCTGGGTGGCACAGGGACCAGCAGCCAGGAGATTGCTCGGAGAGGTGAGACCTCGGGGCTGTTCCACGCTGAGGAGCAGCCAGAGCAATCCCAGTCCACCCCACCGGTGCCAGTTTATCCCACTGCAGCTTCCGCCGTGGAATTGTGCGAACGAGGCAGAGA